TTATTCATTAATTTTTTTCATTTTTTATTTATTTTAATATTTATAATTAATATTATTGTTTTATTTAAAATATACAATCATTTATAATCAATTATAAAATAAAATAAAATTATAATTATAATATTGTTAATTAATTTTATAGCAATTAGAAACTAATTAGATAATTAAATATATATATAAATTATATATTAATGTATATAATGAAATGTACTTAAATTTTTTTGTTTAATTATATTGAGATATTATATTGATATCATTTTGTAATAAATTTGGAATGTGCATTATAATGTAATACATTATCATATATTATTATTATATTGTTATTAAAAAAAATAATTTTTTTATGAAAAAAAAAATAATTTGTTTCGTATAGCAAATTACTGTTCGAGGTTTTAAAGAATATATAGCAGAGACAGTGGCAGTACCAGCAGATTCGCAAAGACTTATTTATTGTGGTAGAGTTCTTCAAGATGAGAAAAAATTAAATGATTATGGTAAAAAATGTTGTATTTTATTATATAATTATGATAAAATAAAATATTTTAATAATTTAAATTATTTTGATTAAGATGTTAATGGAAAAGTAATACATTTGGTACAACGTGCACCTCCTCAACCTGGTCAACGTGGAAATGATGGAGGTCAAGGTCAAGGTCAGAATCAAGGATCACAGGTGTGGCAAAATCCGCAAAGAACACATTATCGACTTACACGTGCTCAAATGCATGGCAATGCTATGTATTTGGGTGCAATGTCAGTACCAGCTGAAATTGTGGAAGGACATGGTAATATATCTAATATATGTATATATATATATATATATATACATATATATATATAAAACAATCTATAATTTTTAAATTCTTTTATATTTTCTAATTATTTTACTTATTTATTTCATGAAATATTCTAGTTCTACTGTATTATTTAACAGGATTACCAGTTCCTCAATTTAGTAACAGTTTGTCTAATGGTCGATTAATTGCTGCAAGACACATGCTTGAACGTGCAGATCGACTTATGGATCGAATTGAAAGTCCTTCTCATCCTGTAAATTCTTCTGCATCTGAAAATAATCGACCACCTTTAAGTCAATTGATGCAGGAATCAGAGTTAGATGCAGAACAATAGTAAGTAGAAAAAAAAAGGGAAATAGCTCTGATAATTATATAAAATAGTAAAATAAATTGATAAATTATTCAGTCTTTTCAGTAATAATGAAAATGCAACAAATGGTGGTGCTCGATTGGCAGAAGCTGCTGCAGCTGCAATAGCAGCTGCCTTATCTGCAGCTGGAGCAAATAATGTTACATTACTTAGAGGTCTGTATATAAAAAAATATATAAATAAAAAAATGAAATATAAATATATATATATAATGATATAATTATAAAATAAAATAATAATAAAAATATAAATTACATATAAAATATAGGAAATAGTGATGAAAACGCTGAATCAAGATCTGCAAATGAGACTATAAATGAAGAAAATCAATCAGATCCACAACAATCACAAGAATCACAACAAGTTCAATCTGAACAACAAGGTTCTACATCAAATAATGATGAACAGTCCAATCGACGATCATCAGTACAGTAAGCATCTTTATATTATCTTGTAATAATTATACATAATAATAATAATAATACATATAATGTAAAGTTTTATTACATAATTTATAATTTATTATTTTTAGACTTCCGCGGCCACCACAATTAGCGGAATTATTGGAGTTGTTACTTGATACTCAAACTCGATTACGACCTCATATAGAACGTTATCGTAAACTTATGCGTGATGATCCTTCATTACCTCCAGGAGTAAGTACATAATAATCATTTATAAATGATTTTTTATTTAAAATAATTTGAAATAAAAAAATGTTTATTTAGGGAAGACTTGTTACTGAAAATCAATCATTTGTGGATGATGTTAGTGAATGTTTACATTATATGTCACATGCTTGTCATGCTTTAAGTGACATAATTGTCGATATGAATCAGGCACCGCCAAGAAATTTGCGATGTAGACCAATTATTATTCAACATTCGGCTATTTTGCAGCCCGGTATACCAATCCAGGTAGAGGTGAGGATGAGTGACAATAATATTTCAATTCTGTTCCTTGTGTAATAAAATTATTCTATATTATGTTTCTTTAGGCACATATTAGCTTACACGGTCGTAATGCAAATAATAATAATGGTAACGAAGAAAACGGAGAATCTGCAAGCACACCTACACAATTAGAAACAAATGAAGCTAATACTGATGATTCTAATCAACAACAAGAATCTGAATCTGGTGGAGTTCAACAACAAGCTGAACAGCAACAGCAACAACAACAACAACAACAACAGCAACCATTAGATTCAACACAATCTCCATTTGGTATATATATCAATTTTTTACATTAAAAAAGATTAATTATTAAGATAAGAAAATAAAAATTATATTGCAGGTACAGTGTTTAATTTACCAAACAATGTTGAAGTATTAATGGAAGTCAGTCCTGAAGGTAACATAGATGCTACACCTGGAAATGAACAAAATCAAGCTGGTGAAAATAATAACAATAGCAATAATAATAATAATAATGGTGGTAAGTTTAATATTTAATATTATGATCCATATTGAATCATCTTTTATATTTGTTTATTATTTTTTGTTCTTATAGGAAGAGCAAGTGGTGGTCCATTTTCCTGGGGTTCAGCTCCTCCGCCTGATTTTATACGAAATTTGATGCAAGCTGTTGCTGGTCATATGGTACAAGGTGGTCCAGCTAATACAAGAATTATAACCCGAAATCCTTTAACAGTAAGTCAATTAACTGTTGCATCACTTGATAGTGGAAATACAAATGCTGGACAAAGTACACAAGCACGGTAAGTTTATTATCATTTTTTATGACG